GTGAACCTAACCCTGAACCCTCGAGTTACTGGCTACGTGACTGGACTGCCCGTCATGGACGCCTGGGAAAATTTTGTGAACGATGAGGTAATTTAAGATATATTATACTAACCAACCGATTTATTTTGGCACGAAGATTTATCCTTTGTCATTAACTGAGTTAGCATATGCTCGTTTTATATATCTTCATTAACTCTCTCAGAGTTTTCGAATTGAACAGAAAATATGTGTACATGTACTAATATAGGACTACTGTTTTCCCCCAGGTTTCCAGGATGCCGACTCCGCTGCAGGGTGGATTTCAGTGCACAAGAAATACTTGGCATTTCCTCAAAGTACAAGAGGTGAAAAATATTATTTATTTCCATGTGGTGTAGCCTGCTATAAATTCATGTTTCACAATGGTTACACAATACAAAATAAATTTGTCAGACGGACTCTGCAGTAATTGACATCTGACAAGCAGCTCAACTTAAGATTGAACTTTTATTTAATAGCAATAACCTTGTTTGATTTTGTCGGTCTTTCAAAAAGGATTTAAAAAGAGCAAAAAAATTCGTCTTTTGTTTCTAGAATCTGGCAAACACAGCCATCACCGGGATAGCCATAGGGATAGGCATAGCGTTCCCCTTACTCGTGATTGCCACAGGAAATATCATCGTCGGCTTCCTGGCTACATTGACAATGTGCATGGTGACTGTCTGTGTGGTGGGGATGATTCCCCTGCTGGGATGGAAATTGGGGGTGGGTCCAACACCTAAATTTACTCCATTGTTGAATTTTATCGAATCTGATTGGGTGAATACGTGTGTAAACTACATATTTTGTGACATTTGTATTCTTAAGTCGTTTATTGCGCATTTGGTCTTCTGAAATATTTCCGTAAATGAAATCCACAAAACATACATACTGTGATGAATTAAAATTATTTATGTTTTAGGTTCTGAGTTCGTTAAACTTATGCTTGGTGGTAGGCCTGGCTGTGGATTACGTCGTCCACCTGGCAGAGGGTTACCACATCTCTCCTCACGAGACGCGCAGCGGCCGCATCAAGGACATGTTACACCACGTGGGCATTTCTGTCCTCTCTGGAGCCTGCACAACGCTGGGAGCGTCGGTTTTCATGATGTTCGCCACCATCCAGTTTTACGTCCAGTTTGGCGTGTTCATTTTCTCCGTTATAGGATTTTCCTGCTTGTTTGCACTGTTTTTCTTCACTGCAGCCCTTTCCATTATTGGACCTCAAGGTAGATTTGGATCGCTCGGCCCTGCTGTTGATTGGTTTAAAGATTTTTGCATGGGGCGGGATTCAAGCGATGTAGATTGTAGGGTGTGTCACGGTAAAGGGTTTCTAAAAGAGAGTCAGATACCTGCTGTTCTCAAAGAGAGGAACAAAAACACTTTCTAACTGTGGACATACATATCTGAATTTCTTTTAACTACGCCAGTGTATTACGAGAAAGTTGCATTATATATTTAACGTGCCACCTTTAAACTAAGGGTCTATTGACTGGATCTTCCTAGCACAGTGAAAACGTTATATATCAGCGACAACCAGTGTTTTAGGTCAGCGCCTAAATCACAACGTAATGACATCAAACTACCCTACGAAATCAGCAGCGTCTCTAAATAGTGTATAAAATTTGAGAATGCCAGACAATTATCTTGTAACAGACTACAAGCGCACCCCGTGGGCAGAGAGTAACATCAAACGCAGTTAGCAGAGCTACACTTACTAGCAGACGACACGTAGGACAGCACTGACTGAAACTCACAGAGTTTTATGTATAAACACGTGGCAAATAAGTGACAAAAATCAAAAGCACTTGTATAAAACATTCTATTTCAACAATAAACTATTCTGTACAATTAATTTTTAACCGAGAATGTTATGGAGCAAAATACATCCATCCTTTAAAATCTGGTTAAAATGTTCTACCCATTCTTTTACTTGTCGAGGCAAACTAACGAATGTCCTCCAGTTCAAGATTGAACCAAAGTTAATGTTAGAATAACAGTTTTTTAATATTTATGTTAGTTTATACAAACCCTTTATCTAATAACATGGATAAGAAAAATAAAACCTTTTATTTATTATCACTATTTGTGTTTTTGCCAAATAATATTTTGGTTCAGAGATAAAATCCTTAAGTCAATATCTTTAAAGTAATAAAATGATATAAAACAATTTCAAGGGACAGGTACACAATAATAATAAACATTTCTTAAAATAAATCCTCTATCTTTAAAATCAATAAAGGAGTGTGACATGCTTTAGGATGTTCAATATACGATACAGCTGCAGGACTAAAATTACACAATTCTTGAAATCTTTTACCCTCCACCAGGGTGGCAGATATTATAGACACAGTTTCCACATTTCACAGAGAACCAACTGATTGTCTGTTTATCTAAAGACATACCTGTGAATAACTTGTGAATAAATCAATCTGCGGCCCTGGTAGAGGGTAGCAATCTTTCATAATTGTTAGTGTATCACACATACCAACTTTTCTTCAACATGTTCTATCAACTATAAGGTTTCCTGAAGTAACTGTGGCACTTGTGGGAGAATTAAATTACCAGGCATTAGTAAGGGCACGAATGATTATCTTTACATAATTTTCATCAAGTTACTTTGTTATACACTTAAAGCTTGGGTTAAATTAATAGCATCTTGTAATCTCAGTAGTAAAATCTCTGAAACCCAGAAAATTGAAATATTGATAAGCTGATTCTCAAAAAGACTTAATAATTACCATATTCATTATTCACAATTAAAATCACTTACTAGAAGATTTAAATAAAATCTGTTAAGAATGACTTGCATGGGTAGATAAACTTTCACCACAAGTTATAGTTGGTAAAGAGACATTACTAATCATTTCTTATAATCTAGTTATGTGTTTTTGACTCTTGCCATTATAAAAAAGAGCAAGGCCATCTTTAACAGTAGAATATATAATTTCTGAATATGGGAATAATAAATGGAGTAAAAGAAAATTTAATCCATGACAGCATAAAACATGCTTGTAAAAATAGACATTAAACTTTACACTGTATATCTGCAAGAACTGTCTAAATGTACCAGTACCTTTATTCTTTGTGAGACAAAAGATGTTTCTCTTAATGGCACTTTTTTCTTGTTAAACACTTGCCATTAAAGCCAAGTTCCATGTACAAAACTCACACCAACAGACTGTAAAACTGACAGATGTCTTTCTACATAAAACATAACTATTTAAAACTTCACGCAAAAAAAAAAGAGTTGCCAGAATTTATCTATACAGAAAACACTTATCTAACTGTTCACGGAGTAGACAATCAATCTTCTGTCTAACATTCAGGCAGGTAGTTCACTAATGGCAAACTTTTTCTTTAAAATATTACCACAGCTGTCTTCGGCAACTACTGTCACTTCTTCCCCTTCTTTGTGCAACATTTCAAGCTCGTCCTTGTGCAGTTTGAACTCTTTGGGTGGTGTTTCACTCAGAAACTCCCAGTGGTGAAAGACCACACCATCAGGGACACTACGTAGTTCAATGAGACGAAACCCTGGTTCTGCTTTCAATGTGCCACTGGAAAAATAAATGGGAGTTATTTTGTTAATGGTGAGAAATAATTGAAAAAGGAACACTAAAAGAATTAAATCAAACATTTTGTAAACTTTTTTGTTACTCACATGACATTTAAATACTTTTCTTTGACATGTCATTTTAAAACTTTCCTATGTTCTGTTCACCTGCATGCAGATTTAATACAACAAATAAGGGCTGTTGCTTACTCCATAAACACAGGTGCTGCTACTAGGTCATTGGGACTGGTATGGTTCAGCCACCTAAAAATTAGACACTTCTAAAAGAGCATTTTTAAATTCATTTTTCTGCAAAAATAAAATTAAAAAAATCTTGGAACCCTCAAAAATCTTCTAATATTCATCAACAATCACTCACTTGTGCATATTCATCTATATCTGTAATTCATGTACTTTTACAAGAAAATAATCATTTTGTTAACTTACCTGTGATAACGAAGCAGTACAGCAGAGGACCTAAACCAGTGGGCTCCATCATCTGCAAATTTGATTAAAGGTTGCTCGTGAGGCACGGAGTTCCCTGACCCTGTGTTTGATGATGGAAGCTGTGCAGGATGAGCAGCTGTTGGAGTAGTCACTGTTGAGCTGCTGTTTGAACCCGTCCCTGATGATTTACTAGCTATACTATCTGTAAAATCAAAACATCCTTTTTAACTTTTAACTTTCAGCACTGTTGTTTAAGATTGCTGTTTCTTAGGGACAACATATGACCTTCATTCAGACTTTGGTTAAAAGAATCAAAAAGGTTGTCTGGTGTTTCAATAAGTATCTTTGTACATTAAGGTGGTACTGTTAAGAACAGCATGCGTCAGCCAATGCTTTACTTTTCTTTTTTAATGAATATGCCAAACAAATGCATTCTTGTGTGAAACAAAACTATGGGCTACAGCAAACTGTCCACTTACTCTCCCTACTGAGCTGCAGCTGTTTGATTGTGGCCCTCAGGTCTTTCTGAGTATTATGTAAAGCCGCAGACTGGTCAGCAACAACCTGAGAATTTACAGTGCCATCATAATTTTGTATCTTAACAACCTGAGTAACATGAAGTGGTCTAAACTGTGCCTCTATATGCACCACGGAGGGGGACTCTTTTGGTTTTGATGCTGTAGCCTAAAAATAAAAAAGACATAAGAACTGTTTCAGTGACAATTTTTTTAGTCATAATTTACAACAGAAAACTTTATAGCAGGTAATTCACAACAAATATTTTACACATTCTTCTGAATAATGAGAGTTTATTTATTGAGAACTTATAAATGTCATATTTATCACAAGTCAAACCAGCTTACATTACTATAAAACAGTTTAAATTTCAAGATGTAAACCAAATGTGAATAAGCCTTACATACCTGTGTTTCAAATATTGTTTGTGCATGTTTGTTATCACCGAATGTAATTTGAGGGACTGGTCTGGCTCCTCTTAGAGTAAAAACCTTATTTAGATCATCAAAGCCTCGTCCCATTATTCCAGTATTGGTGTGGGCTAGATCAAATGTGTGTCCTAATTCATGCAAGGAAGCCCCAAGTCCAGTGGCATAATTTGCCCAGTAGAATCCCCTTTTAACGAAAAAAGAAAAACTCATCACTATATCAAAATGTTGAAAAGATTTGTAATCTTACCAGAATGTAGAAGTTATACAGTTTGTAACATATCATGTGATTTTAAAAACTCATAAAATTTTGGAAGTACTAATACAAGACAACATTTACTGTGCAACAATGCAATAAAAAGCTTACTTCATCATTTTTAATATCCAAAATCCCACCTGTATGCACTGTCATCCATCAGAAGTGTCCTGTCAATTTTCCTGGAGTCTGTAAAATGACTTACAACTTGATCCAAACTCTCTGCCCAGGTGTGCAAATTGCCTGTCCCAAATAAAGCCAAGCCACCCCCACCTATGTGTAAATGTTAAATAAAACACTTATCAAGAAAAAGGTGATGTAGGAAATAGTGCCTTCCTGTAGAGGACAGTTCCCATACTTAATAGAAAATGTCCATCCTTGTAAAAACAAGGTTGGTCATAATTGACAAAAATTCACTATGATTCTATTATAATCTTTATATTAAAATTGAAAATATAGCTTACTCCTCATGGGAATTTTTTGGAATTACATGAAACACACAAGAGATGGCTACTTCCAACAGTGTGAAATAATTAACAATAAATATGCTATCAATAATCAAAACAGATACAAATTGTTGTGATGACAGTAAGAAAGACTGACAAAAAAGACACACCTAGTGCACAGTGACCTCTTGTGTGCTCTAGAACTTCAGCATGCGTCTTTGGAATGGATCCATCTCGTGGAGGGTTGTACCTGGTGAAGGACATGAAGGCATACCACTTACAGTTCTCTTTATTAGGGAAGTCTGTCGTCATGAGCTCCTTGGCAAAGTGCTGCCACAGCTCTCCTCCCTCCTTGCTCTGAGCCTCTCGGAGAGTCAAACTGGTGGTGACAACATGGCAGACTACCTGACCCTTGGAATCAGTTTCTAGTTGGAATGTTCTTCGGCCTAGGCTGTGTTCATATAGTTTTTCAGCAGTGAAAGTCTGAATGAGTTGGGCACCAAGTATGATGCGTTTTTGAGCACTCTCTGGTGAGTTGTCTTCTCCCTGTGGACCTTGGAAGCAGCCATTGTCGTCACAGCACCTGATATAAATTGGCCGAACAAACTTTGCAAAGTTTGGGCACTTGTAGATGAGAGTATAACTTAAGGTATCTTGGTTGGTGCATGACTTGAATTTAATTTTATTGATTCCCTCTTGTAACTGGACCAAGGCTTTGAACTGACCCCCCAAAACTGGCCAGGAGATAACTTTACCTGTAAAGAAGACAGTGGTGATCAGTAAAGCAAAATCAAAGTAGTATTTCAGGCCCGCAGCCAGCAGTTTCAAAAAAGGTGGGGGGGGGGAGGTCTTTTTCTGAAAAATTGGACCTTTTACCACAAAACCTTCTTGTACTTAGATCATCAAATTGTACCGAGATGGGACCTTTTCCCATCAAAAAGAGCAATTCATTCTAACCCCCCCCCCCCCCCCCCCCCCCACCCCCCNCCTGTGTAGTTTCATTCCACACATCGATTGACGTGTCGGCTATGTGAGGTTGTTCTTGTTGTACTTCTCCGATAAGAAGAGGTAGAGCATAAGAGATACTTTCTCCATCTGTGAGATTGCACACTCTGATAGGCATTACTCTTCTGCAGTCAGACAGATCTCCTGCAGTGAAGAAAAGACCAAATGCATTGGGTATCTGTTCTTGTAATAGAGGGCCACGTTATCTAACATGCTCAATTTGATAAAGAAACATGAAAAATCAATACAACAGATAAGCCAATATGTTCTCAAGAACCATTTTTTTGCATTTTGGCAATCATAAACATGGAGTGAAGGAAACAGAAAGAAATGCCTTATGGTAATGTAAATTGTCCATGAGGAATAAAACAGAATTGTTGAATAAGTTTAACTTCTGTAGTCCTGTATTCCAAATGCATAATATTCATACAATCAAGACTTACCTCAGAATTGCAAACATGCCATTATCACATGTCACAGCAGAGCACTACATGGTATGACTCTCCACAATTGTCTTCATGCAGGAATTGTAGCCTGAACAGAAATTATACAGGGATAAAACTGGATACTTTATATACAATGAATCAGGAAAGAGCAAATGCTCTGAACTTGAAAGCTTATCGCTGCTTGCAATGTTCATTTACTAGGTGAAACATTTTCATACCCAATTTCCATAATAGTGGTAACCATAATCATTCAGCACATATGTAGTAACATCCATTATTTATATGTACATGCAGAGTACATGCCCTACATTCTTGATTGACAGAACATTTAAATGAGGCCTAAAATAATGTATAACTGATGGAAAAACACCAATCAATACATTTCTTATATTGATAAACCATATCAATCATATACATGTACATATATTTAAAAGTGTACATGTAAGCAGGCTACCGTGTAGGTTATTCAACTGGACAATATTGATTCTTGATGTTATTCCTGCATATATGGCTTCAGCAATATTTATCCAGAGAAGAAAAACAGATTACACAAAGCACCAATTAAGGCATCAATAAGCTGCGATTGTGCCTGGTTCAAATAAACATTGTGATTTTATAGACGACTAATGGCATTACTGCCATAATAATATCCAGAAAAAACTAGCTGTTCCTTCAGGATTCGTATAATTCCCTAAAAGCTGCATACACTGGCAATGCCAATATTAACCCAAGTCCTCTTTAGGCTCTGGACTTCTACCTCCGTTATCACTCAGTAAGATCTAGATTTTTTCAAACTGATCGCCGAGTTACCCACGGTGCACACTTGTACAACGTTAATAACTGCAGAGTACGTAAAGAAATGACTGAAGGGTGGTGCTCGTTCATCCCAGGTCATGAGTCAACAACGATGGGACCAAAAGCATGATTTCAGGTTTTCGTGATATTGACGCAAATAAAGAACGATTCTAAAATGGCATTGTTGTAATTGAAGCCATTCAATCAAAATACTCACCCTCTTGCTGGCGACTGGAATGCTGATTCACGACTTGCACTTTTGTTTTACCCACTCCCTGAAGGTGTCACTCACTTCGTCAAGACAAGCCCCTCATTATTAGAACCAAGTGCATACATTCTATATAACGTTCATGATTTAACCATATTAGGCACTTATTACAAAAGGCGGCTAGTTCAGCATTAAATTACCTGCGATTTTATTTTGTGGTGTTTTCAAAGTGATATACATTATTTCATATATTGTTACTGAAAGAGTAAAATATATAAACTCATCTGGACTTTGTTTAAAATGCACAATAGCTATCATTGAAACCGTGTTGCTCAGGACAAACGGGCTTTTTAATATTAGAACGCAGAAGTCAATATGGCATTTCACTATGTAACCAGGTTAAAAAAGGCTGATAGAAAGAATAGTAAGTAAGTATTTGGGTGGTACATTGGCAATTATGAAAAGAGATCAAATACCAAGAAAAAATAAGGAGATTGCTTACAAATTATCATTTTTATTAAAAACTACATTTCAAAGTATGCAACATATGAAATGCTTCAAAAGCCATTAATCTCTAGTCATATACTTTCATGAAGACTAGAGTATGCATTAAATGCGTGGTGCACCAAGTACACTGAAACATATCTCCATTCCCACACTGCTTTTACTGCTTGGTTTATTTATAGACTAGAAGAATTCCGAAGCCCTGGGTCTTTTAGGTAAATTCAGTAAATTGTCTGTCAAGGACGCTGCATTGGAGTCTCTCTTGGGAGTTGATTTTGGAGTCTGTGGCGAGGCCCCCACCTTGGGTGTGCCACCAGTTTTTGGAGTCCTGTTAGGAGTTATACTTAATGGGGTTTTATCCCCAGGCAGTCTATGGCTAGGTGAGGGAGTGTAACTTGCTCTGAGAGCTTTATCTGTGTGAGTTCTTATTCCAAGCTTTGCGCTAGCTAGTCTCTGTGCTGCTGGTGACATTGTGTTTATCCTGTCTGTCACTGAACCTGTTCTCAGTGATGGACTGGCAAAGTTTGCAGTCATCCTTTTCAATGTCTCCTCCTTTTTAGACCTGTGTGCCTTGCTGGCTTTCTCCGCAAGTTCCAGTGCTATTCGGTCTCTATTGGGAATGTCTGGAATCTGGATAAAAAGAACACTTTAACAACATGTTGTAATACTCAACTTACATAGATATGTACATGCAGACATGTAAATATTTTTATAAATAAATCTTGGAGTTCTTATTGAGAACTTCTCAATGATAATGTACCACTTAGTAACACATCCAAAGATTTGTAGTCTTGTGCAAAAAGGAATTTTAATATTTAACTTATTACCTGACAATTCTATATTTGCTTTTAAAAGTAAAATTAAATTTTTTGGTATTCTTACTTTAAAACTTGGACCAGCCGATTTCTGATATGGAGTATCACTGCCGTCAAGTCTAAATGGAGTCCCTTCAATTTCACCCCAAGTCATCAATGGAGACTCATCTACACCTGAAGTGTCACAAACATACATTGGAGATCATTAAAATCTCTTCTTTTCTTACATGAAAAGTTTAAACAAAATTTGTGAAACAAAAATGGAAATATCTTCCTTAAAGATGCAAGTTGTCCTGTAATTTTATTCAATATTCTAATATCATGAAAAATACAAATAACAAGCCAAAAATGGCTATTAAAACATTCATACTCTTACTTACCTGGTTTAGGTGAGGGTGTGGCCATAAAGCCATACCCATTCACCCTGGGAGACTCTACAGGAAGCACCTCTTTGCCATCGGGGCCAATTTTTCCCTGTTTAGCAAAAGCCTGCATAGAGGCTGCATGTTGGATTGCTTGCTTGCTCTTGTCATTGTTGAAAGGGTTGAGTTTAAATCTGGTATTGTGATGCATAATTTCACGAGGCTGCTTCCTTTCGAGTTTTTCTGCTAGCGATTCTGGGGCACCTAGTAAGTGAACAATATTTTAGGGCATACATTTTTTAAATGAAGAAAAAACCTGTTCTCTTCTTTAATTTAACACTTGAAAGTCCACATAAAATATTCCAAAAAGGTGTCCACTGAACTGACAGCAGGAAGAAACAGTACCCTCAAGATACTGACAGATAGCAGTGAAGATGCTACAGTATGTTGTGTAACCTTGACAAAATTTAAGAAAAGTCAAAATAAAGTTTCTTAAACACATTTTTGTTAGAACAAAATGCTGAATATACTGACATATATTGGTTTTTAAACTTACCTTCTGGCACATACATCAGCTTGTTTCTTGCCTCATAATTCCATGTTTGCAGTTCTTTTGGAGGAGCAGCTTCTATAGCCATCTGTCCCTCCACACCAGGGAGGGCCAAATTGGCTTCCATCTCCTGTAAGGTATTGCATTACTCATTATATTTCAGATTTCTTTTTTTTTAAGGCAATCAAATTAATCATTCTTAAATCAAGTACTGTGGCCAAGAAAAATACAAATTTTATATTTCAGATGAATGAACAGAAGACTACGTAACCCTGGTTTAACAATTTATTTAATTGTACCCACTAAACTTACCTTATGTTGCTTGTTCTCTGCTTCATACAACCATTCATGTTTTGCCCTTTGCTTCTTCTTGTTTTCTTCTAGAATCTCAGCAAATGCAGCATTATCTTCACTTGTATTTCTGGCAAGGTATTTATCTAAAGTCACATCTGTTGGGTTTTTGGCTTTAAAGAAGGGAAATAAATAGNAAATGCTATCAATCTAGGACTAAAAGGAATAGAACTTTTTGCCGCCAGTTTTTAGTTTCCCATTGATTCTTTAAGTACATTTTAACATTTCTGACTTTATATGACTAAGAGACAATATTTATTAATTGCATTCTTAAAGATATAATTTAACGTTTCTGACTTAATTTAAATAAAATACAATATTTATATATTGCACTCAAGTATTTGTCATTTTCAGACAAGCACTACCATCCCAGCTGTTGCTGCTGATCCTGTTCTCCCTACAGCCGCTATTGTGTGTATTGCCATTGGTGGATATCTCCTCATTGTTATTATAATATTAATGGTCAGACAATGTTTGCTGGTATGTACAGTTTCTGGATTAAAAATCATGTCAGGTATTTCAAAGAGAAAGCCACTGCTTCTGCTTAAGTATTGGAATTTGGGCTTAATTAAGACTCATGTAAAATGAAATTATGATAATGTGCATTGCATACTGTGTACTAAATCATTTGAAAAATAAACAGATACTCAATATATTATATGCTGGATCCATTAAAAAATGTCAGCAAGTAGAATATTAGGAATTACTACCAGCATTATCATTAAATCAATACTCTACTGAGTAGCCTAGTCTTAATGTGTTCTCAATTTCATACAATCTGCAACAAAGACAATGCAGCCAACATTAATGGCTCATTTTGGCAAAGCATGTTTGAAATTGTTAATAAAAGGTAAATTATTTCCAAAGAGCATGATAATTCGACCTTTTTAATCATTACACAAAAGCCAGTGACAATCCTATTTCGCCATGCTTTATATATTTATACAATAACTTTACATCTAGATGACAATAGCAGTTATTATTCATGTTCTTTCTTCCAGTCCAGAGGTATCTGCGGTGAGTGTAATTGTTGTGGGAAGGAGGGGGAGCCACAGTGCTGTGAATGCTGGATTGGATTTGCTGAATGCTGCAACTGTTGTCGATCACCCAACATTGAGTCATGTTTGGATTCAGTGTGCCCTCAGAGAAGGGTCAGTGGGGTTTTTTTTTATTCCTTCATGTCCCAATTTATTAAAACGGTTGGTAGTCTTGTATTGAAAGCATTTCAAGAATTTGTTTAGAATAAGAAATGTCACTCTAAAAGCTTCTTCTCACACTGCTATTACTTATTAATTGGAAAATTAATATTATTCTGAACTGAAGACATTCTTTAAAAGTATGAAATGTGTGTATGATAATGCATTTTCCTTTTTTTTTTTGTAACCGAGTGTTAGTCATGTCTTAATTAAGGCAAATATTTGTGATGTTTATCATGTAAATTTTTATTATTAACCTTTTTACATTCAGAAATGCTGTCAGGTAATAAGCACAAATTATGCTTCACAGTTAAATGCAGCTATTCATTGATATATTCATTCGCTGTTAGTCATTATTGGTTGCATTGATGTAAATTTTTGATTGGGTTTCGTTTTTGATATTAATTTACATTGCTCATTACAAAGCATGTGATCATTAGTTTTAAATCAATTTTTTTATCTTTTTTGCTTATTTACAAAATCTCACAAGATTTATTATTTGTTAATTGAAAAATAAAAATGAAAAATGACCATTTTGTTAACATTGCATACATTATGTTATTTATCCACTTAAACTCTTCTTTTACGAAGAAATATTATTTTGAAAATAAAACACCACTGCTAATTTTTCTTCTCACTTATGGTACAAATTTTTTTCTTTTTTGTATACAAAGACTAGCTTTGATTTATACAAAATTGTTAGACACACTACAAAATTTTCTTTATATATCCCTGTTGCATGTTCAATTTTTCTGCTTCATGCAATTTCCTGTGAAATTGTAGCTCCCAAACAGCATCACCAGTATTAGGTGAACATTCCCTAAGCAATTGTTCATACAAATGTTGCATATAATATAATTGTTCATACATATTGTTCAAACAAATGAATCATGTTGTAAGCATGCGTGCAGTTTTTGGAACCAGTAGATTTTTTATTTGTTTGTTGCAATTGACAATTTTCTTTTTAGAAAAAAAACTGAAATCATTGATAAGAAAATTACATTTTTAATAAGAAAATGAGATTAGTAAATTTGCATGTTCAATGTGTATTTGAAAAAAATTCACATTTGTATATGGGCACATGTGTAAACATATGATACATTCTTATGTCTAGCTTCAAGTTGGCATAATTTTTCAATGTGTGTTATGTTTTTCAAAAAAAAAAAAAAAAAAATCATTTCAGAGCATGGACTTTGCTGATATTGTGACATGTCAGTGCTGTGGTGAAGGAGGATGCTGCGGTGAAAATGAACAATGTTGTGATGTAAGTAGAGAGTCTTAATAATAATAATATACAATTTACACAAAAATAAAACAAAAATATATTGTTAGTTCTGTCACACTATTCAGTAGAATAATGATGCTAACAATGTTTTATTACATGCTCAGTCATTGATTATCTGAAAAAAGAAGACACACTTGCACATGTAACAGTTTTTAATATTTAAAGAGTTTTTAGACTTACTTTAAACTCTGATTGCAATTGCCAAATTTATCCACACATTTCTATATTGTTGTGTGTGACAGCATGTACATGTCTGATACCAACTGATTTGGTTGTAGGAAAAGGATGTCCNGTTTTTGCATTAAAAATCATGTCAGCTATTTCATAGAGAAAGCCCCTGCCACAGCTTCTGCTTAAGTATTAAGTATTGAAATTTGGGCTTAATTTAGACTGTCATGTAAAATGAAATTGTTATAATGTGTATTGCATACTGTGTACTAAATCATTTGAAAAATAAACAGATACCCTATATGTTATATGCTGGATCCATAAAAAAAGATGTCAGCAAGTATAATATTAGGAATTACTACCTGCATTATAATTAAATCAATACCCTAGCCTAGTCTTCATGTGATCTTAGTTTTGTACAATCTAGTAAAGACAATGTAGCCAACATTAATGGTTCATTTTGGCAAAGCATGTTTGAAAGTGTTAATAAAAGGTAAATTATAATTTTCAAAGAGCATGACAATTTTACCTTTTTAATCGTTACACAAAAGCCAGTGACAATCTTATTTCACCATGCTTTATATAAATGCAAAAACTTTACATCTACTGTAGATGATAACAGCAGTTATTATTCATGTTTTTTCTTCTAGTCCAGAGGTATCTGCGGTGAGTGTAATTGCTGTGGGAAGGAAGGAGAGCCACAGTGCTGTGAATGCTGGATTGGATTTGCTGAATGCTGCAACTGTTGTCGATCACCCAACATTGAGTCATGTTTGGATTCGGTGTGCCCTCAGAGAAGGGTCAGTGGTTTTTTTTATTCCTTCATGTTCCAATTTATTTAAATAGTTGGTAGTCTTGTATTGAAAGCATTTCAAGAATTTGTTTAGATTAAGAAATGTCACTCTAAAAGCTTCTTCTCACACTGCAATTTTTTTTGTAACCGAGTGTTAGTCATGTCTTAATTAAGGCAAATATTTGTGATGTTTATCATGTAAATTTTTATTATTAACTTTTTTACATTCAGAAATGCTGTCAGGTAATAAACACCCATTATGCTTCACAGTTAAATGCAGCTATTCATTGATATATTCATTCGCTGTTAGTCGTTATTGGTTGCATTGATGTAAATTTTTGATTGGGTTTCGTTTTTGATATTAATTTACATTGCTCATTACAAAGCATGTAATCATTAGTTTTAAATCAATATTTTTCCTTTTTTGCTTATTTACAAAACCTCACAAGATTTATTATTTGTTAATTGAAAAATAAAAATAAAAAATGACAATTTTGTTAACATTGCATACATTATGTTATTTATCCACTTAAACTGTTCTTTTACGAAGAAATATTAATTTGAAAATAAAACACCACTGCTAATTTTTCTTCTCACTTATGGTACAATTTTTTTTTCTTTTTTGTATACAAAGACTAGCTTTGATTTATACAAAATTGTTAGACACACTACAAAATTTTCTTTATATATCCCTGTTGCATGTTCAATTTTTCTGCTTCATGCAATTTCCTGTAAAATTGTAGCTCCCAAACAGCATCACCAGTATTAGGTGAACATTCCCTAAGCAATTGTTCATACAAATGTTGCATATAATATAATTGTTCATACATATTGTTCAAACAAATGAATCATGTTGTAAGCATGCATGCAGTATTTGGAACCAGTAGATTTTTTATTTGTTTGTTGCAATTGACAATTTTCTTTTTAGAAAAAAAAATGAAATCATTGATAAGAAAATTACATTTTTAATAAGGAAATGAGATTAGTAAATTTGCATATTCAATGTGTATTTGAAAAAAATTCACATTTGTATATGGGCACATGTGTAAACATATTATACATTCTTATATGTCTAGCTTCAAGTTGGCATAATTTTTCAATGTGTGTTGTGTTTTTTCAAAAAAAAAAAAAATCATTTCAGAGCATGGACTTTGCTGATATTGTGACATGTCAGTGCTGTGGTGAAGGAGGATGCTGCGGTGAAAATGAACAATGTTGTGATGTAAGTAGAGAGTCTTAATAATAATAATATACAATTTACACAAAAATAAAACAAAAATATATTGTTAGTTCTGTCACACTATTCAGTAGAATAATGTTGCTAACAATGTTTTATTACATGCTCAGTCATTGATTATATGAAAAAAGAAGACACACTTGCACATGTAACAGTTTTTAATATTTAAAGAGTTTTTGGACTTACTTTAAACTCTGATTGCAATTGCCAAATTTATCCACACATATCTATATTGTTGTGTGTGACAGCATGTACATGTCTGATACCAACTGATTTGGTTGTAGGAAAAGGATGTCTTTTAAATAATTTTCTTTACAGAATATCCCATTGATTTTGATTTTATGTAATTTTCTATGTAGTGCAGTAGCCATAACTGTACCTGTGGCTGTCAACCACCAGAATGTGACAGTTGCAGTTTTTGCTGCTTTGAGATAAGCCTCAAACAGCAGCCTGCTCAACCTGGTGCTACAGCCCAGCCACAGCATACTACCATGGTGCCCCAGCACCACGCTGGTCTGTCTTGGCATGCGCCACCTAGTGTGGCATCTCATTATCCACTTGCTGCAACACCATCTGCCCAGCATTCGTAACCAGTAACCCACTAATAAATGATGGTAAACCAGCCTGGCATGCATGCTCACAGCTTGGGGAATTTGAATATTTAATCTGCTTTGTATTTTTTTCCTAATTATTTGATTTTGTCTATTTTAGTTACTGGGAATCACAATCAACACCCACAGAGATGAAGGCATTGAATACTTAGCATGTTATATTTGTATTGGTATAATTTGCAAGAGCATGACAGGGGTTGGGATGGTAGTGCATGAGAAATTGAGGGATTTGCCAGCATGATATGCATGTATAAATTTCATCAATTGATTTGGCTTACATCCTAGATTTTGTTTGCAGGTATTTGTTTCCATAAAAATCAGAAGATGTCAGTGTTGATTTAACATTTGGAACCGTTTGCTTTCACCATTTTTAAACCTTAAATTTCAGTTTTAATCAAACACTTTTAGTATGGGAGCACGGTAACTGGAACAGCAGTTTGATTATTTTACTTGCATAGCAGTATAAAGGCTACAAAATTATTTGCTGAAACATTTTGTAGGAACAATATGTATAAAAGAAAATAAGTTTATCAGGATGTGTTATGTAGCATTTTATATGAAGTTTTCTCCATCTAGAATAATTGGCAAAGATATTTAGTTTTCCTCATTGTTTTTGTTCTTGTTTAACCACTAGGTGGTGTGGTCAAAATTTAAATGTCTTAGCCAATTTGTTTGGTTGGAAAAAAATTAACCTTTAATACGACTAAAAATATATATATAATATTTTCCACAGCATAAAAGTAGCATTTCCTCGCTTATTTTGAATACCTTAAAGATATTCCTTCATATGCATTCTTTTCTTTTCCAGATTTACTTGAAGTTTACAAACAGTTCTGAATCTTATTAAATGAGTTAACATGAGTATAACTATTTTCAGTGTGGAAACTGTGGCTGCAACTGCAATTGTAACTGCGATGAATTGAACTGCTTATGCTGTCAGATCAGTCTCAAAGATGCAGCTCCACCACTAGATGATGACTAAAAATCAAACACACAAAACTAATAATTTTATGGTGTTCAATAAAAAAAATGGATGTTACTCTGGAGGAGTTAAAAGAGCTAACATCACATAGTTACATTTCATTTGGTCTATTCAGTAATGGGAAACATTAGTGCACATGGTGCTTGAAAACTGTATGATAGTACAATTTTATATTGGTCTTACAGAAATTATATTTGATATTAAAGACCTCATGATTTTCTGTATTAGTCCCTTAGGTTTTGAAATGTGTGCTCTTTAAGTTTCATTTATATTTATATTTTAATATGTTTTAAAAAAGGTTTAAAAAACATCACTGCACATTCCAGTACTGTATTTACCTAAATATTCGAGGAACATACATTTAATGACAAGTATTAAAATGTGTAAGTGTACTGTGTATATATCATATTCTAAGTTGATGCATGTGTATCTGAAAGAATCTCACTAGCCATCCAAAGGTCCTTGTTAGTTTAATTGACTAATGTAAATTTTCGTTATGTATACTGAAAATTGTATAACATGTAATACATAAATTTTCTATATTCAATGAAAGTTGTTACTAAATCAGCATCCATTTTAAAGAGCTTCTCCAATTTTTATGTGAAAGTTGAATTTTTCACATTTATGTACCTTCGTGAAAATGTTGTTTCAAATGAGAAAAATGCACCCTCTTACTGCTTTTATCTATCTTCAGCATTTTTTAATAATAAATCATTTTACTTATTTTATATAAGAACCAGCATGGTTACAAAAAAATAACACGTACATTCCATGATAGAGTTTTTTTACTTTTCTAGACAATTTTTTCTCTAAATATAGAGTACTTCTTGTAATGAGGGAGTGTTGTAGAAAGTCAAAAGTCCTGTATTAGTTAACATTGCACCAGTAAAGAGTTCAGTTATCATATGCCGCGTGTTCCATCTTTCTGTAGGCCAACAGACTTATTGCATAATATGGTAGTGAATATTAAACAAACAAAATCATGTTTTCTGAGCACCAAGTAGATTTTATGGTTTCTGTGCTGATGCTTAGTAATCTGATGAAGTCTACTCTCCTTTCTTTCTCTTCTGGGCTATTTTCAGTGCCATGAGTTTCAGACTATCATCGTGATGGATCTCCAAGGCTTTAAGAATGTGCACCATAGCTTGATTGTGCCGGCCATTTTCATAATATTGCCTGAAATTATAGATAACATAAGCTAATGTAATTATTTAAAATGAGTATTATTTTAGACTAGTAAATTGTTTTCAAACCATAAAAAATACTGCAGATGAAAACTTGACTGTTTTAGAAACTCTGCATTAATTTTCTCATTTGGTTGATGCAGTAGGAATCCTTACTAAAACTGCATACTGTCTCACTATACAGATGAACATTTTGAAAGTAGTTCATATTTTACCATGAATTTTCAAACAAGGATTTCAAGATGATACCTTGCCAAATTCCTGGCATGTTCAAATTCCTGTATTTTTTCAGCAGGCATTTCCTCTTCAGAATCCTCTATTTCATTTTCTTCATCAGAATCTTAAATGAGGAAAATAGTTTCAAACATTTATATTATGCACCTGAAATGATGACATTCCAGATTATTATGCATACCCTACAAATTTTCAAATCACAAAAACCTACCAAAAGTTAAAATGTGACAAAAATCTACATTCAATTAATGTTTTATAATAACAGCAAAATAAGTTTCAACTCTGAGGTAGATATTTGAATCTCTTTTTGTTCTGGTACATATAAATTTAAAGTGAAACTGACCTTCTTCACTGCCTTCTTCCTCCTCTTCTACTGACTCTTCCTCTTCTTCTAATTCTTCAGAATCATTATTTATGAAGTCATCCGTACTGCTGCCTGCCTCCTCCTCTTCCTCCTCCTGTGAACTGATAACATCATCCCCTTCTTCCTCCTGTGAGCTGTTTGCCTCTTGTGACTTTCCTTGCGAAATGTTGAGGCCCCCTTCTTTTCTGATTTTGGCACTCCTTCCAATTTTGTTTGAACTATTGCCATCCTCATCTTCTCCCTCAGAACTACTGATGATCACAGGCATTCCACTTGCCGGGGATGATGGTGCAGTGTTATAACCCTCTTTCTCTTTCTGAAATTTTGTGAAATGAATGAAATTATATTAACACAAAGTGCAAGAAAGATGAGATTAGATAGGTGAAAGTTGAAAAAACTGAAAATCCTAAAAGCATAGCTTGCAATTTCTAACTTGCAATTGCATTCAGACCATATGAAAAAAAAAAAAAAAAAAAAAAAAAACATCAAAATGAAGACTGAAAATCCTGAAATTGGGCATAATTCTAAAAATTTTCACTTGAGACTGTTGATGGTTTCTTTGCAAATCGAACTTTGGCTTAAACCAAGATTTATTACAGAACTGTCTGTTTATCACATACGTCTTGTTTTCTAATAATATTTGAAATAAGCACTGCAAACCATACTCACTGAAGCAGATATCTCTTCCTCATCTGATGAAGATGCAATTCTAGTACGCCTGGACTGCTTCTTAGCTGTGTGTACAGGACTGTCTTCCATATCTATTGTAGGCCCTACAACCGGGCTGTCATAGACTTGAACAGATCTGGCCCTGCCATGGGGACTATACTGTACTTTGACATCAGAAATATTATTGGAGTCACTTTTTGAAGTGGAAGCCTCTGACCGACCTTTGGCACTGGTGAAGCTGTCATCTACAACCATCTCTCCCCCATCATCATCATCACCATCATCCTCATCACTATCAGGGATACAGATTCTGTCCACACTGCCAGAAGCTGGATTAAGGTGTTTTACTTGTGGAGTGTTGCTGGCAGAGTCTAAAACAATGACACTGCTTTCTTCTAACCTTTTCTCCTTTCCAAAGGGCAAAGAGTCATGTGGTGTTTTCCGACCATTCCCTTGCTCAAAATCAGTGGAATCAGCTCTGATATCAGGTCCGTCTTCAGTCAAAGATGCTGGATTGCTTTCATTCTTACATTCACTCTTGAGGAGTTCATTGAAGTTGGTGAAAGGTTCCTTGTCTACTCGCTGTGTTGTGATGATGGGTCTTGAGGCATCTGGAGACACTATCATCTGTTCTTCAATAATAATAGGTTGTCTTTCTGGGCTGCTTGGAACTTCTTCTTTCTTCCCATTTTCCTGAAATTGTTGGAAAGTGATAAGATCAAGAGATTTTTAAAATACTCCAATAACTGTACATGTCTAAAAGGATTTTATGACAATTTTTTTTTTTAATGAACAAGTAACAAAAATGGACATTTTTTAGTTTTAGGTGTTACTACATTTAGCCATTTCATTTTTCAATTTTATTTTCACAAAAGAAAAATCTAGTTTTCATTCTAAGTTATAACAACAATTTTGTTTCCTCTCAATATTCATAGCAGCACATCTACATTTATATATGTACACTACACAATTCACACATAATATCTACTTAGCAATATTTGTCATCTACCTGTTGATGTGCTTCATCCTCCATATCTACATCTTCTAGTGTAAGGTCTGCCAGAGTCTGGTTCAAGCCCTCATCAATCTCACTATCCTCTGATTCTGTATCAACAGCAGCCAGATCAATGAGAGGCCCAGAGCTGGTCGTGGGAGCTGAGAGAAAATTTGCACCAAATAAAAACCACAATACCATTAAAGGTGCATATCAATTATTTCAGTCACTTATTGTTGCCAAGAAAACAGCTACAGTGAAATTTCAAAACTCGAGTAACAAAACTCACAGAACTGAATAATTGCTATACCAGATGCAAATACCCAGAAATAGAAAAGCTACAAGTCTGAACTTCATTTTTGGCAAGCCAAAGTTTCTTTATAGTAGCAACAGGCATTACTGCATGTTTTTAATTTTTTCAACACTTTTAAAATCGATTATAAATAAATAAATAAATAAATAAATAAATAAATAAATAAATAAATATAATTGATTTCTGAAATTCTTAACCCACCTGGAGGTCTGCTGGGCATGGAACGTTTAGTATCATCCCTACTTGGTGCCACTATGGGAGGCTGCTGCAGACTGTCATGTACAAGATAATTGGGAGGGTATTTGGACATGGTCTCCTGCATTTGTGTGTTCATCTGTGACTCCATGTTGATTGTTTCAAGAGCTTTCTGGGCCTTACAAAGACAAACACAGTACATTCATTAATCTAAGAACTCGGTGGGGGAAGGGGGGGGGGATTATTTTTCACAGACCTTGGGTGACTAAATGTAATTTCTTCTGAATACTTACTGAATGATGGAATGTGAAGAAATAAAATGTTGCTCATTGTTCTTTCATTTTAACACAAACATCATTTCATTTAAATGAAAAAAATTACTACTAACTGTAACATTATACACTGTTCTACAATAAATGTAATACTAATCTCTCACGTGGCATCTTTATAAATGCCCAAAGGTATTGATATTTTTTCAATGTGCCTCACCCTGCTTTGTATATAATCTGTACCACCCTCGTCATCTTCCTCCTCATCATGAGCTGCTTCATGAGAGAACATGCGGTCATGGTCAGTTAGGCCATACATGGCTGAAATCATATGAAATACAGTCAAACTATAAGAAACCTTTTCAGGGTAAAGTATGAAATGTATTTGGTCAAACTAAAAATCATACTGTGTCTCTGTGTAATTTGTGTAATTTATAAAAATCCACCCAGAGTTTACAATTTTTATATTTCTTTCTACATATCTGAACAATGTTATTTTTTGTCAAATTACTGACTGGATACTTAACATGAATACCTCGTTCAAAAACTACTACTACTACTACTACTACTACCACATGGCTTTAGTAGCTACACACAATAAGACATTCTATTTACCCACCCAGTGTATGCAGAAAAGCCACATGAGCATCCAGGTTATTGTCACTGATCCTGCTGCTGCTGTGCATGTCCTGTAACTGCTGCTGTGTCACAGACATGGTGGGATCATCCAGGATGAACAGTTCTTTCAGCTCTTGCTGGCTGAAGTATCTAAACAAGAAAGATTGATGTCTTTAAACACTCAGAATTGTGTACAACTTAAAAAGTTATGTCTGCCATATATATTGTTTGACAAACACATATGCCTGTCTGTGTAATTATTAACATCTTAAATGCCACAAATTTGTTTCTAAATCTCTACAACATAGAGGTCTATTTTACCTAGCTTTGGTTTTAAGGAAGAAAATATAGATCTTGAAGAAAACAGCTTATAATAATAATAACAACAATACTAGTACACACACGTCTAGCACCCATGCAAAAATACCTGTATGGGTTTTTGGATGTCCCAGTGGTCTGTCTTGTAATGGACTCCTTGAACACCTGTCTCCTGTAGATCTTCTCCTCTATGCTGCCACATGTTATCAGCCTGTAGACCACCACATTCTTGTCCTGGCCTATCCTGAACACTCTGTCCACTGCCTGGGCATCTGTGGCAGGGTTCCAGCTGGGATCAACTACAAAGTGGAAAAGGAACGATAGTTATGTTTCAGCAAATACATTGTTAAAGAGCAGGACAAATCTTATTTAATTTTTCGGAAGTTACTTCTTTCAATCTACCCTCAATGCGCATGTGCAGAACGGTTTCGTCACGGCACGGGTCTATCACGCCACACCAGCCTTTTACCCACCAATCAGGGAATCGGGCCGACAATATTCTTAAAATCTTAGTGAATGTCGGTCCAAATTGGGCGACAATAATTTCTGACTCACCTAGTGAAACTTTCTAACGAAATATTTTATTTCTCAAACTTTGTAATCTTATCCGAAATAAAAAAAAAAAATTAAAGAAGCCGTTATCATTCTTCACTCACTAAAAAACGATGGGGGCAGCCATTTTCAATAGGAACGCAGTATATAGTAGGCATGCAGCATTTACTATCTGTCAGCTGATTGGTCATAATTGAGGCACAAAAAAAACATGTGGCGTGCGATTTGTGTGAGCTAGATTTGTGAATTTTCTTTTATCTGCATTGTCATTTTCTGAACATTTGTATAAGCTACGAAATATTTCTCATCGGAAAATCACCCAGCAGCTTTCCAAGTACAAGTGAGTGACGTCACGATGCACTTCCGGTTTTCGTCAAGATCTTGAAGGGATTTGTGTTACGGTTTGCTGCACATTTAAAGCGTTTTATCTCAAAATATACGCAACTGCTTGGATTGAAATTTACAACACTTATTCTTCACACAATATCGCACCTATGTGTGTAATTTGAGAGCTTTAGCTATCATACGTTTTTTACAGTGCCCATTCAAATTTGAAAAAGAGCTATTTTACGTCAATTTCTTGAAGGGGAAGTCTATGATTTCTTTTAAAAGTAATAAACTTATTCCTCAACCATAAGTTAGGTAAATACCATAATTTGTTTGAAAAATACAATTTATTGTTAAGCTCTATATAATGCAGGTTAAAGTCGTGTAGGTTGGTATAATTTGACATTTTGTCTAAAGCTGCTGTAAGAAACTCAAAACTTGGAAAAGTGCTCTTGGGTAGTTTAGACAGATGATTTAGCTCAAGTAAGGCCTGGTTTAAGGTTAGTCCAGGAAAATTGCAGTTTACCTATGGAAAATTTGTTTTCTGTGAGTTTTGATGCCTTTTTGGCCCTTAGTTTACCTTTAAGTCATATTACCCAGATGTTATCTGAGCAGTAAAATGTCTCTTCAATAAAAGATCTATTCAAAGATGCAGTTATTTGATTTTTAATCACCTAATTGCTACTCAACTGTCCTTTTAAAGTGTATAAAGCAGAAGTTAAAAGTGCACAATTTTTACGCAAAATAGGGTAAATATACAAATTAGTGCAAAAAACATTCGGGCCGGCAATATCTTGTCCGGGCCTGCATTATTCAGATCTAAGCAGGCCAATGCATTGGCCTGCTTTGCCCTCAGAGTTTTCAGCATGTCTGAGCAAAATACTATTGGGTATAAAAATCTTGAATCATGAGTCATGTTGAAAAAATCAATTTAAAAAAACCGACTGGTCTAAAAATAAAGATTAATTCACTTACATATAACAACCCTGTCAGCTGCAGTCAGAGTCAAACCAACACCTCCCACCTGAAAATTCAGTTGTTTTAACATTTGTTAAAAGAATATGAAACTTATTATTTGTGCAAAGAAACCCTTCTAATCATTGTAATATTCATGTTTTCTTCAATCATTTCAGTTAAAACCAAGCTTTTGTGAGAAGTTTGTCACATTTATGCACATGAGATTTACCTGAGTGGTCAACAGGAACACAGAATAGCTGCTATCTGACTCAAATTTCTTTATGATCCTCTCTCTGTCATCTAGCTGTGTAACTGTGCCATCCATACGAGCTACTTTGTGGCCCTGTAATTGCAAAAAATGTTTAGTACCATAGCATGCAAATAGGCCTGTACTCAAAATAATAAACAAAAATGATAAAATGTTAATAATGATTCGACAAAACATGGGATATGAACAGCTGTGTTCATAAAATACTTCACCTACCCTGTTGGTAATAACTTTCTGTATGATATCCAACATCTTTCTTGACTGTGAGAATACCAGGCAGCGATGGCCCTCTTGTTTCAAGTTGTCAAGCAGGTCTACCAAGAACAGCATCTTCCCGGATTCGTTAATCAGGATATCATCAGTGATATTGTGTATTCTATTGGCAGCAGATTCTTGGGAAGCTGGATGGTTTAAGTACTCTGCTTCAAAGCTGAAAAGAAAGTAGAAAAATATCAGTGCTATTCAGAGTACATAAAGAACCAAGTAAACACCAGGGAAGGTAACATTATCTATAGGCTGCAGACAAGATATAATGTTGCAATAAAAGCCTTTTATCAAACTGTATCATTTATATCATTTAAAGGTGAAATAGAGATCTTCAACAGGTGAAAATATCTATTACTTACTCCTGCCCATCCAAACCTAGTTGCATACAAGCAGCACTTGACAACAGTCTTGGGTGATCGCAAATCTTTTTCAGGACAATAAGTGCAGTCAGGGGAGACCTCGTGGTCACCATCAGTAACTAATGAACAATGGGCACTGGTCACTTTAGAGGTATCATTCAGAGAAAAATACTAATATGTTATAAGGTATGTTTGGTACATATCTTAATTATGGCACTGAGAGGTAGTCTTTTAATATACTTTACAAAGTTCTTTTAGGTAGTTTGTATTGAGAAGTGAAGTTCTTCTTGTTCACATATATACATGAGACGATACCAATGCACATAAAATATAAAGTAAAATTTTGGTGTTCATATACACTCTTTGACAGGGAGTTACACTTAAATTCAAGTACCTCTTTAACTTCATCGGAAGAACTGAAGTCCTGGTAGATCTTCTTTTGAATTTCAGACAAATACACCCAGATCACAAAGTCATTCTTTCTGGTTAGAGAGGGCATTCTGCAATTGAAATACTCATGTTACATAACTTATGTCCTGACAATTCAGGCTAAACCAACAAAAACCATATGTTCAAAATACATGTACACGTCTGGACAAGTTGTTAAAAAGTCCAAATGGATTTTATATACATTTTTGCCAACTTTTAAATCATACACAAAATCAATGTTCTTTGTTATGGAACCCAAGTGTTACATACAAAGGTGTAGCTGATCTTTCACTGGATCCTTCTTGTGCATTCTCTTTGTCTTCGTTCATAGCTTGGACTTCAGCTTTAGTTCTACGTAAGAAGTAGGGTGCTATGATCTTTCTGAGGGTTTCTGCCATCTCAGCCCCAAGGCGTTTCTCACCCATTGTGGCATCTTTGGCCCTTGACTGAAATGGGGAATGTTTATCAACTTGGCACATATATCATAAAATTATAATTCTAAACACAAATAGGCTTTCATGATGATCTTGTAATTTATTTGATAATTTTGTTCAATGTTAACTATTAAGCAAAAAATGAAATAGGTGATAATATAAAAGTTCTTTGAAAAGTCGAGGAATACTTTTTCTGGAACCTGCACAGTCTCACATACAATAAATTGAACAAATTTGTTCTTTTCTTTGTTCCACGAACGAATTATCCTCCCTAAACTGCTGAAAATCTTACCCTAGTTATTGGATTATCAAACTCCATCTTAAATGTCCTTGCAGTCCCAAGTAATGCCCCTTGCTGAACATAGTCAAACAAAGCCCACATCTCCTAAAATAACATATTCTCATGTAACAAAAAAACTCATGACCTACTTAATGACCAGAACTTTTACAAAATTGTTTTACAAAACGCCAAACATGCATAAAAATTATCTATGAACCATCATTCTTTAATTATAGTAATACAACAGACTAACATTTTTTAAGTTAATTCCAAAAACGGCATATTTTTTATTTCTTTATTACCATTACTCATTATTATTATTGTTGTTATCATTTTGCAGACATTTTAATTTTTTAAGCACTTTGCCTACTCAAATGACAAAACTTACACCTAGATTATTCTGAATAGGTGTTCCTGTCAGAATAATTCTGTTACTGCAGGGAATTGCACGTACACCTTTGGATGTCTTGGTGGGGTTCTTAATCTTGTGACCCTCATCAAGGATCACATAGTCCTGTTAAAAGATTAAAAAAAAAAAAGACTTCATAAACTGACTTAAATATCTCAAAGCTCTAGGTGTATATTTAACCTTCTCACCAATGATAGATAAGTGACAAAGATTATATAATACAACTGCTCATTTAAGACAATAAGTGTTATCTATGGCAATTTCTTTAATATCCCAGTTTATTTTTACACCTCATACCTGGGGATCTTCCTCAAGTTTTGATGAATTATCAACAAAAAGTTACGGCTAAGCAGATATTATTATGGGTCTTCTGATTATGCAGACAAGCAAAAATATTTTTCCATAATAAATTCTACAAAGAACACACATATTTGCCTCAGGTTATCAGATGTCATACCCATTTAAATTCTCTGTCATCCTTCTGGCTCAGTACTTGCCAGCTGGACACCACCATGCCGTAGGAGGTGAGACAAACCCCACCCCGGCGCTGCACCTTCCCCAGAGCTCTCTCTCGCTCCCTCTTACTGCTCCCATGGAATGCAGATACTCGTATACCTGGAGCCCTGAGAAAAATAAACAATTTATTTCACCAAGATAAAAAAAAATTTACCTTAGTTCCAAGATTTAAATTTAAAACAAACTTTAAGCATTTTGCAGTCATTGGACTATTTGTAAACTATATCTCTACAAGTCTGCAAATAAACAAGTCATGATACAAAAGACTGGAAGCATTGTTTCTATATAGTAATTGTCAGAAAGAGGACTTAGGTACAACATTGTAAAAAAAAAATGAGTAAAAATGAGTACATGCACATGTGATTATTCATTACTGACAAAAGTAATTGTTAGCAAATCTTTTCCATTAGCTATATTTCTTCAACTGAGATTAGATCTATCATTTATGCCAAAATCAAGCTAGTTTAAAGACCAATGGGCATTATGAATGCAAGTTTTGTAATAAAAACGGTTAAAGGGCAACTCCTTGGGATAAACCTGCCAAAATGGATTTTCTCAAGGAAATAAGCAATTTTGTAGTACTCAAGAATTATTTATCTATTCTTCTCCTCACTTAATTAAATCCATAAAGGTCGATTTAATTTAAAATGACTGGCCAGTCATTATAACCAGTGACCATCTTCCTAAGCTCTGAGTGAAATATTAACATAAGGTACACTCTAGAAAAAGTTATTTAAGGGGTTAAATCGTTTTGAAGGTGTATGTAAGGTTTTATAAGAAGCTGTGGATGGCAAAAATAAGCATTTGGGGTACTTTCAAACCCATGGAGTATATACCTTTAAACACTGATATTTGACAGTATGAATGGAGCAAGGGATGGCAATCAGTTACTTAGATAATTGTAAACTGTGTGGATAAAGCATTGGAATAAGTGAAATGTAGAATTAAGCACAGTAATGAAGATCAGTTTAAATGTAACCAATCTCAAAGCAACTTCCATTTAGTCTTCAAAAAGAATAATTTTCCATTTTAGATAGCCTGTACTTCAAGTTAACTTTTTTACAGCATCATCTGATACATCCATACTATGGATAATCATCTTTGACATTGTTACATTAAGTGAATGCTTAATTTTAGTCAATGCTAAAAAATTTGTACCTATTCTATTTTGGCTAAGGAGAATTTTTCCCCCCCAATTAATCATTAATTTTATTTAGTCCAAAATTTTGATTTAGCTCAAATTATCCAGTCATTTAGCAGTTATCCTAGTGACCCCAATGACCTTACCACTTCTCAAATTCTTTCTCCCAGTTCAGGATCAGTGACACAGGCATTACAATGAGGACAGCATGGACATGCTCAGAATCAAACATACCAGACAGGAAAGAGATGACCTGGATCGTTTTACCCAACCTGGAAATTACAAAGCACTTTACACCCTCTGAAATTTTAAATAGTACAAATGACAAAAACAGGGAAAATATAAGAAAAATTGTACACAGAGCTTTTATTGAGAATGAGAACACGTCATACATGGGAATAATGCAAAATATATAAGAAAAGCATATGAACTTTACCTAGTCAACGAAAAAATTCAATTACATGATGAAATTGAGTAAAAATACTTATATAACACAGTACAATGCAATAAAAATAATTCAGACTTGTTACCACAGGTCCAATTCAGCTGTTTATTTTATTTATATTTTTCTACCATGTGATTGTCCTGTCAAAGCTCTGCTGTTAATGGTTATTCAAGTAGGCCGGGACGCGTGCAATTTGCTTTAAAAAAAAACAAAATTGCACGCATCAAGACCTGCTCAAGTATACAGGACAGTGTGGCAAATGGCACTTTTTATCATGACTCCGGTCTTGAACATTCTGCAGATTGAGGCATGCTAATGCCGGCCGGGAGATGTGCAATTTGAATTTTAAAAAACAATGTTGCACATCACACGGACGCCACTGACACGTAAGTGGACTTTCCTGCCTGTTGGAACTGAACAAACATTCTTGAGGAGAATATCATTTATCACCCTGTGACATGTAAATCATATTAGTCTATACATTTTGATAAATATACATTCTTAGATGCAGCATTCCATAAAATCTTACATTTGTTTTACAAAAGTTATAAAAACATGAAAAAGAACACAACAAGATGACTAAAATATTTAACATCTTTGGAAAACTCTGTTTCAGCCTGCAGCAGCTGTTTAGAACCTGGAATTTCACATCTCTTTTAGCTTGATCATACATATTCCCTGATATCACATGGTGCTCCTAAGTCAATTGAAAGGTAGCCACACAAATGATACCAGGGGACAGGCAAGATATCCTTTAGAAGACAGACGGGATAACCGTCAGACTAAAACTGGATGAAGATTCCCCGCTATTGATGCCTGATGTACATACTATGTGCTGTACATTAACCAGCCTGTTTACTGCATAAACAAGGCTGATTAAAATATACAGGACATAGGAAGTACAATTTCTTCTTGTGTCTTCAAGGAACCTGTTCCACATGATGAAGTAGTTTTGAAATTACAGTGGCCAGTTCTTAATAATTTCTGACACAGAATAGAATTACCATTAGAATTATTATTTCTACAAAATAAATATAATAAATAAATAAATAAATAAATAACAATTATAAAATAATAATAAAAATAATAAAGTGATAAAATAAAACCCTCCCCCAGCCTCAAGCTCTCCTCTTACCCCATGTCATCTCCCAATATCCCTCCCTTTTTCTTCTGATATAAACTCCACATCCACAGCAGCCCCTGCTTCTGATGTGGGTACAATTTATTACACAGAGCCTTGTAGAGATAGAACCCCTTGCCTATGTGGATCATGTCAGATTCTTCTGAGGCATCCCCACTGTCTTCATGGTCACGGATGTATGCCTGCAAAGACCAAAGATCTGAAGGTCAATTTTGGCTTAAAGTGTGCTCATTTGTTTTTACTTTCTTTTATGCTAATTTTATAACTTATATGTTATGCTAATTTTTTTTTATGTTAAATTGATAAATTCACTATAAGCTAAAATTCTACATTGAATTACTTCAAGAACTAAGTTTAAAAATTACCTGGATAAAAACACTGTTACTTAAACCAATATTGATTGATTGTTAAAAAAAAAAATCCAATAACAAAACAAAATACCTCCATTTTAGTAATCTTTTTCTGCAGTTTCTCTTTTGGGTCAATTCTGTATGCTTTTTTGTAGTATTCCAATGCAGCCTCCAGCTTGCCTTGACTAACTTTTTCCTTGGCTCTACTGATAAGCTTATTAAAATATAGTTGCTTATCCTTTTCTGAGTGAGTTTGAGGACCATGGCTATCAGAGACTCGTATATTTCCATTACCACATTCTGTAAATAAAAAAAAAACATATATAAAAATAGAATAATATTAATAATAAAGTCCTCAATTTATAAGCAAGAAATAGCACAAAGTATGGATTCCTATTATAATCAGTCCAACTAAGTGTCTTTAAGGCCATACTTTGCTTTAACTGGCTGAAACAGAAAGGCATACTTATTCTTTTTTCCTTCATAAACCGTCCACAAAAAATATTTGATCAGTGGTAATATTTTGGATACAGCAAAATGCTATCATAGGGAAAAAATCCACATAAAAACATGTTTATACATTTAAAGTACCTGGGAGATGCATTTTCTGACAAAATATACAATGTGACATCAAACAAAAAATAACCGTAACAAAATTAGAAACATTTTGTATTTAAAAAGCAACATTTTAAATAAATGTATACTTTGAAGAGGCAAACACCTGTAAGAGGCTCTCTCTTCTTCAGACCTCCAGGTGATAAAGGATCCACAATTTCCATCTCCATGCTCTTCTGAAAGCTGCAGCCACCCTGTATACGTAGTGACTGTGTCTGTGGATAGCCCTATTATGTAAAATACAGACCACAACTTTGATTTTCATATAAAATGGCACCTTTCTTTAGTTGCAATGCCATCTGTGTCCATTTTATTTCTCAGTAAATTATCTGACATAAAATACCACTTACTACATTTATAACGAATGTACACTTTATATAAGCTAAGGCATAATGTAAAACCAAATTAGAATCGTTATTTCATTCTACCTTACAGTGATGACTCGTCGAGGGTTAAAATCAGTAATGCTTCCCCACAATACAAACAAATTCAAAATAAAATAGAACAAAACATTTAAATATTACCTCACACAAACTGACATTAACGTAATGAACACTGAATCGATACCAGAAGATCTGACCTCTTCGCTTGTAAAACAGATTTTTAACGGAATTTCAAAATTGGAAAACAGCCAAAATTTGTGCGCCATTTTCCCCACCACTACGATTTTAACAAAATCCCAATAGCTTCGCGATCAAAAAAGCCCCGACGATCAAGAGCCAGTCTCTTAAGCTTAACCACTTTCTCAAAAACATAACTTAAAAAACTTACGTATGTCACCTTCTTATCTGACAATGCTTTCTCACAACTTCGAAGAGCTACTCCGTTGCCTACAATATCCCATCTTGCCGCCTCTTTGAAATGAGCGCGAACAGGTAACCCACGTGATGTAGATGTCACTGTGTCACAAGAAAGGCTGGATTTCGCGTGTTGAGTATTCTCTTTTGATTTACATAGCGCCTTAAGAAATTCATGGAAATTAATATGATCGTGTTTAATCTATAGTGAATTTAATGTATAAAATACTGGTGTAATAAATAAACAAATCTGTTGTGATATAGCCTAAACTTTCTGAGTAAATACGCCGATCAGACACGACCAGAGCCAAGGCCTGCGGATGTGATGCCATATTGCATCAGGTGGGATTTGGTCTCAACTGAAGGTTGTGTTTTATGACAAGGGTCCTTTTTTAATCACACGTTATTCACGTTTAATCATACTTATATGTGTCGCATCTTTTGGTAGATCGACAATTTTCAGCCGCACCTGACACGACGAGTCAGCAGGATTAATTTTTTGAATTGGTCTAAATTATTTAATGGGGAGCGCCCCCTTCACCCCACCCCACCCCCTCAAAAAATGACCGAAAAGAGAATAATATGCAATATATTCGAATTCTAAGAATCTTTTTAGCGTAATTTGGCTACCCCGAACGGGACCAGTGAACTAAGAAGCATGTTGAGACTGTTAGATTTGTACAATTATTATGACACAAGTATAATTGCCATAGACTTAAAGGCCCTACATACTAACCGAGCATCGGTGGAGCGTAGATTCCCAGTAACACATGTTAACCACTTCTACTAGTTTCTTATACGACTCAAATAAATTTGACATGCCAAGGGATAAACTGAATACATCACTCTATCAGCCATAAAAGTGCTTTAGACTGCTCCTTTCTTTAAATTTTTGGTCGGAAATTTAACCTACTTTCGTGACCTACTTTTCTGCCCCATTGACATACAGCATAGAATGCTAGCAGAAAAATCTGTTCAAACATCATTTTTGGGTCAAATTAAACAATGCCTTTTGGTAATTCTCTTAGTTATACTACTTGAAACTATATGCTGACATTTGGTTGGTTTCTGTGGCAAAAAATCGACTTTGTATGCATCTTTAAATCATAATATATTGACCAAACATCTGTATTCTAGTAGGCTCCCTAGATGAAGCGACGCGTAGGGCTTAACACATTCAATCGCCGCTGAAAATTATGCAATTGTTGACCTAAGTAGGTCTATTCCTGAGACACCCTATTTAAAACCGTTTATATCAGGAAAACGTTGCACTAGGCAGACTTCCCTCTAGTGAATTTCCTTATGTTCGAAAGCGGACATACGTAGGGAGTGTAGCCTAGTGGAGAACCTCGAAACATGCACTTGTTTATATGGTGATGAAACAGAGCACTACTGGCGTAATTACTACCGTCTCGAGTGGACACATAGACTACCGGGATGAAATACGGGAGAGAAAATCGAGGAAAGACATTCTGCAAGCTTGGTTGAACAACACTTAATTCTGTTTCACTATACATTGTAAAAAATGCACAGCGAAACAGAAAAAATAATGTTATTGATTTTAATGATATACTGGTATTAAAATGTGCAAATCGATGAGATGATCACAAAAATATGAACATTTTCAATCATTAACCACAAACATAAACTAACACAGTTCAATTGCAGAACACTTAACATGAGAAAAATGTGAACTTATCTGACTTGAAATTGCTATTTTCCTTTAAGTTTTATTCACTTGTGTCTGTATGGGTCTGATGGGAGGGCAATGACCCAAGTGCAAATATAAACTTTAGTATTCGTCACTATACAAATCTATTTCTGGATCAAACGTTGGACAACCGTTCTTGAACATGTAGCGCACACCTGTCTTGCTTTGACGGCATTTCCATCCTTTTTTCAGTATTAACAATAAGCGGAGTCGGGCTGCCGTAGGTTATTTTGAAAGGAATAAAAGTGTTTACACACCGTGTTCTGGTCTAAAAATTATTTCAACAACACAGTCGATTTTTTTAACATTTTGTATACCCTACAAAATGACATTGTTTAAAGACTCTATTTACTTAAGCATGCCCTTCTATTATGATTTTTGTTTGCATAAACTCCCCGTCGATATTGCAGTCATTTGCCCTGTCCTCTCCTTTATTTAACTGTGATTTTTAGACGGGCGAAAACTTGATCTTTGACTCGCACCCAGGGTTGTGCACCAAGTATCCACGGAGGTTTTCTGTACAAAAAAACATGATACGCGTATAGAGAATAGGGGTCTAAACTCTGCAGGGTACCGGTGTAAGACTATTATGATTGTAGAATAAAGTTGGAATATTTATATCCTTTGTTTTTACCCTTAAGACGTCTATGGTAATTCATCTTTGTCGGCAAAACGGTGCATAGAGTGCACCTGCAGAATTAGCAGTTTTCATTTCGTTCCTTCTCAAAGTTAATGGAGTAGGTAGTGTGGCTACTGCTTCCTTGTAGTCGCTTCAATTAGCACCCTTTTTTTCGTGAAAATCATAACTATAAATACGCCCTAAGCAAAAAGTCTTTGGTCCAGTTATTATTATTTTTTTCGATCTGAGAGGAAACAAAGCTGTGCCCCCTGCTGTTTGAGGTGACTAGGTAAAACAAGCGGTCTCAAAATACGATTGCATCGATATTGCACAAACCTTACACGGATGATAACTGTACTAAACGGAATTTTTTTTCATAAGTATTTTATTATAAGGATTGGGATAAGGATATTTTGTACATATGTCTGTATATAGTTTATTAAACAAAGAGAAACTCCAGTTCACCAAGCGTAGGCTGTACTTAGGCCTTCGTTTGTTCGTGTTCCTAATCGCAGTTGTAAAGGAAGGTGGATTTAATCACGATACTTTAAAATACGCCCTTCACTGAAGTGCCGCCAACGGCAAACTGAAAGGTTTTTCTAAAGATATATAATAGTTATGCGGGTAAGTATCATCCGTAATGTATTGAGCTGTTCCGTGTCAGTGCGGCCTTATCAGAGAAGGTAACTTAGCCCTGCTGCTTATAAGTGTTCAGTTTAATTCCTTTGTAGAGTTGTACTTAATCTACATTTTTTTTTCAAAATGCCTGAGGTCCACTAGAGCGTGCAATGATTCAGGTGTTATTATGTTCCGGGCAATGACCTACCCAAGGCTATATATAGGTCATAGCTTCGGACAATCAATAAATCCGCACTGGACACTTGGATACCGCGCATACCGTTGACAGGCATGTGCGCACGCTCGCGCGCGCACACACACCCATACACACACACACACACACAGTCAGGTGTGATGTTATTGAAGTTTTTATACAAATATCGGTTGTGTCAGGAATAGTGGTATGGTTGTGAAATCATTAGATTTGATCTTTTCAATAGTTGCTACGCACCGTCTTTTTAGTAGGTTTAAATTGACTTTCGTCATACCATCTTTGCTCTAGTGTTATTTTAAAGGATCGTCTTACTTCAACCTTTGATGCTCCAGCATTAGTATTAAATGTTAATTACGGTTATCGTAAACTTTATCAACTTTGATTTATCAAGCATATCATTTCCTTTATTTAACATGAAAAGAACTGCCGCTATTTAAGGCGAGTTTACAATCAAGTTCCTTCAACTCTTCTCGGTACACAAATCCAACTTGCCCCTCTGGTGGCGTGTCATGCCCACCAATCTGATGTCGTCGGCCGGGAAAACCTTGGGCGAATAAAAAATATTATTTTTATTAGTCCAGAGGACGACAGGCGCATTTCCTTTGATATCTATGTTGACCTTAGCATAGTAGAACGGTCCGCAGAGCTCGGTGGCATCAAAAAGCGTCGAACCAACTTGGATGCAAACCCACCTCCAGTCTACATTCTGTCTTTTGGATTCAGTTTGATAACCTGTAGCAGTATCACCAATGCAGTATCACCAAACTTCCAATAGTTTATGGCTAGTGTTTTCTAAAATTCAATCATGTCATAATCATTTATTTTCAAAATTCAAATTTTAAGCAATTGTGATAATGATGCTGTGTTGCAACATATCATACTTGCAAAAAGAGTAATACTTTTTTGAGACAGCATGATAAAAGAGGACAACAATAATCTGAAATGTAGCATACTCTACACTAAACAGCGCAGAGGAGAAAAGAAATGAAATGAGCAAGACCCCCTCGAGGCTGTGTGCCGTGTTGAACGGTTGTTGAAGAGGCCCGTTGACACTGCCGTGCCTTGATACTATTTTCTAAGGTTTGAATTGCTTTTCAATGAATAATGATGTGCGGCGCTGGGGTACTTGAATGGAACAAAAACTATCAGTTCTCGCTAACACAAAAAGCAGGATTTTTGCCCTGCGCCAAAAGGACTTCTGCAGCACTTGTGGTGTCCAGCACAAGTTATAGAATGACTTGACTACTTTTGAGTGTTCAAACTTCAATAGATGAAAAATAGGAAATGAGACAGAAAAAAATATATATCGGTACGACTAGGTCTCGTGCGCATTAGGTGATGAGTGGAAAACTTCATATTCATATCTTTCGTTTTTCCATGAAGTTCATGAAATTTCATCTACTTGAACACAATTCTAGGCGTTTCTGTCAGAGATATCATATTAAATTTGCTGTTTGGAAACCGAACATGAAATTGCTGATTGAAACTCGATTTTTTTGGTGTCAAAATCATGTAAGAAACTCGTATCCTTCTAAAATGAATGATAACAAACTGTTATTTCAATGAGCGACGATTAGAGGGTGCGTGCAGAAGTCTACACATAGTATTCATTTGTTAGGGCAGACATGTTATCAAGATCTTACCATCTTTCCCTTACGAAAATTTCCTCTGGATCGTCCTGTAGGACCCTATGGGACTCTATAAGACTCCGTTCACATGAAAAATCTATTTTCTAAAAATATATTTTCTTTTCGCGGTATCTTGTGATCACTCCGAGCGCAGCCGAGAATTAATTACAGCTTGGAAGTAACTGGCTCGCCCTGCCAGTAATTACGCCGCGGGGTATTCAGGACACAGACCGTGATCACAAGATACCGTGAATAGAAAATAGATTTTTAGAAAATAGATTTTGC